AATTATGGAAGCTTATTTCCACCACAAAATAAAAAAATTGAGACTTTTTATCTCACAATTGTTTTACTTTTTTCTCTCAGTTTTGACTTTATTTACTCAAAATTGTAAGATATAAAATAATTTTTTGAAAATGTTATTAACTGCGAGATATAAACTCGAGATATAAGAATTGCATAATGCATAAGAACTCGCAATTTCTTAAAAGAGAAAACAGAATTGTGAGATATAAACATAAATGGGAGCGCAAAAGTCAGAATTGTCGCATTGACCTTTATATTTTTATTTTGTGGCTAAAGCAAGCTTGTCTTTTTTTTTTCTTTTTTTTTCTCTTGTAAGACCAAATCTCACAATTTGGACGTTTCTTCTAAGAATTGCGAGATTAAAAGTCACAATTACCTTTTTTTATTTTTTTTGTTCTGTGGCGTTAATAAACTTCCATACAAAATACATTTGCATTAATAAAGATGCTTTCTCTGAAAACAATTCGTAATATCTAATGCAGTGTTGCTTCTCAACTAAATGTTTTTGTTTTATGGATTCTTAGATATTTTAACTGAAAAACAAGAACAATATATGTTTATTACGAAGAGGTTTTAAGTGTGGAAAATTGCATAAAAGGCTTTTTTCACCTTCAATACAGAAATACATCCATAAAAAGTATTCGCTGTATATGTGCTGTATATATTAGATTTTTTTTAAGAGTGTTGTGGCATTAGCTTAGCAACATGTTAATGTTAGGCTCTGTTGGAATCAGTTGAAGAGTCACAGTGTTGTTGCCTATATAGAATGTTCCAAAAAGGTTCCATTTTAGTTCAAATGTAGGTAGTAGATTAGCAAAGCAGCTCACTGTTTTTTAGATGCATGTTTGTTCTAATTCTTCAAACTAAATCTGAAATTTGCCTTTACTTCTATCTCAGGAACGTTCGACTTGCTCTGAAACATGAGGTGTCTGTCAGAGATAAACCGAGCTCTATTCTTTCCCCGCAGTGGCGCTTCATGTTTTTTCTCCCCCAGAAGAGTTAACCCTGGCTGGTCTTTTTCAGGCCAGCTCAAAATGAGCCGTAATGATGAAGCTGTTTTTGTGGTCGCTGACTTTATGCATGCCTTGGAGTTTTATTGATTCTGGTTATGGTCAAACGCCAAGTTAGGAGGATGGCCTACTTTCACCCATCTGAGAAACCAGGCTGGAAAAGTTTAAACGCATCCACTGCTCATATTACAGACATTTTGGTTTACATTTAGCCATTGTTTACCAGCAAATTCAGCTAGTATTCTTTTATTTGCTTTATTTTTACTCTTATTTTATAAAATGTATTTTTGAATATTTATTTCATTTAATTTACAAAAGAAGCCGTACTTTGGGATTTTTTGTTGACCCCTGCGTGGTTTGGTTTTGATCTTGGATATAAATGTTAGTCTCAATGGATGCCCCATTATGTCAAACCATCAGAAAATAGTCCATTCATTCACGAGGACTTTCCAGAGTAACTTAATTTCGCACAATATAAGCTGACAGCTGTTTAAGACACTTGGCTCTCGCCTTCCCAGGAAATAACTTGCTTCCTCAAATTTACAGTTCGAACAAGCGTACAGTGTTCTGCATCGTTTGTTCCACCACATAGTAATAACTCTGCCAAAAAAAAAATTTGGTAATCTATAAATGAAATAAACAGTGTTGGATAAGCTTAGATTGGTAGGTCAGATTTTGGTTCTTCAAGAAACCCTTGGGAGCATGTGGCCTGTTAGGGCTCCTTTCAAAGTGGCATTCACCAAGCATCGTACTTCTGTGGCTTATTTCTGAGTGAATGCAGGACAGGACTTCATTTCCATGGGAATTTGATTTGCACTTCCATAGGAAATTGACTGGAACGTGAAAGTGTATTACATTTTATTAAAATGACCAAAACAATTGAATTTTAATTTGGAGTGTGCATTTTAATGTTGACTTTAATAGATTATTTTTTGTGATGGAATTATTTTAATGATAGAAAATGTCATTAAAGGGATAATTTGGAATATTTGATTGTCATTTTTCCTACAGGTTATGACTTACACATCAAAAGCATTAAGAAATCATAACCAAAGGCCGGTATTATAAGTGCCGTGTGCAAAATGAGATTAACTCTGTTTGGTTGTTGAGCAACTTTGTTGCTTGCAGAGTTTAGTTATTTCCTCTTTCCTTGCTAACTACAAAGCATTGTTTTCTTAATGAGTGTTTTTCTTGTTTTTATGTTAAAATATCTTGTTTTATATACTTAAAGATAGAATAATTTAAAGCAATAAATTAATAATTTTTTTTTCTGATATAAGCAAGTTCCTTAGTAAATTTTGCTTGATTTATGCTTGAAGCAATATTTTAATTATATAAAGAATATTTTTATTATAAATATATATTCCCTAAAAAGTCTTAATATTAATAATGCAATTTTTGCTTGCGAAAATGTTTCTTTTAAAGAGATTATTTTTTTGTCTTGTTTTACAATAAAAACATTTATGCAAATTTTCTCCATGGAAGGACCATAAACCATGAGACTATAGTGCTTTCTAACTCTTTATTTTGCTATGCAGGGATGCAGTTGCCATGCCGATATTGACACCTATGATGTAGCAGCTGTGGCTTTGTTCTGTATATTTATAGAGATGTGCTGTCTATTCACAGCAGATTCACAGCAACACACTAACTCTAACTGTAACCATGGTTTCCTGTTAGACGTAGCTACACAGATGCAATTTCCACTCGTGATCAGAGTGTATTGCAGGGACACTATTTAGGCAGATTAAATAAAGGAGCTGTTTAGTCTGTGTCAGACGCCATGAGTAATAAGGTCAGATGGAGAGCTGCAGGCCTGAGAAATAAGGGATAGGGGCGATATGTTCGTCCAAAGAGCACCGGTAATGGCACCTTATCTCAGTTTTTTAATTAAATTCCGAAGCTCTTGTTTACAAATGATCGATCTAATTAAGATGAATGAGACTGTCTGGGACTTGTTCCAGAACAAAAAGTGAAAGGTTAATAGTAAGAAACAAACCAGGCCAGTATGAAATCTGGGACTGCAATATCTAATCAATAAAATCAATGGAAATTGTTGTTGACAAATGTCATTATTGGCTGGTTGGCTCTATGTGCTCTCAAGGACAACCTTTCTCAGTAAATGTCACTGCAGCACTGAAAATCTGGGCTTGGAACAAAAATGCATTCATAAAATGGCCACAGGTTGATCCGCAATGATGAGTTATCCAAAGAAATGGAGTGATTTGTATTAAATGCTTTAAAGAAGGCCAGAAATGTGTTGTTTCATGTGTCTAGGCTAGTGTTTAACGTGGTTCAGAAGTGTTTTTGTACAAGTATGTACCTTATTTTACTGTAATATTCCTATTTGTGTGTTTTAAATGAAACAAAATAACAATTAATCGAAGAAATAATTGATTAATCACTCATGTTAGTTGCAGGCCTAATTCTTTGCTAGTCTATAACTTATTTTACTGCAGTATTCCTATTTGTATGTTTTAAATTAAAGTGAGTGTTTTGCAAAATAGTGATTAATCAAAGAAACTAACGATTAATCACTCATGTTAGTTGCAGGCCTAATTCTTTGCGTCCTCTTTTTCCAGGTGCTAGATGGTGGTTGTGAAGGCAGTACGTAATGCTGAAGGGGCTCGTCCTGAGTCAGAATGAGTGTCAAAGATGGCGATGGGACGACTAGCAAGTTCCTTAGTAAATTTTGCTTGATTTATGCTTGAAGCAATATTTTAATTATATAAAGAATATTTTTATTATAAATATATATTCCCTAAAAAGTCTTAATATTAATAATGCAATTTTTGCTTGCGAAAATGTTTCTTTTAAAGAGATTATTTTTTTGTCTTGTTTTACAATAAAAACATTTATGCAAATTTTCTCCATGGAAGGACCATAAACCATGAGACTATAGTGCTTTCTAACTCTTTATTTTGCTATGCAGGGATGCAGTTGCCATGCCGATATTGACACCTATGATGTAGCAGCTGTGGCTTTGTTCTGTATATTTATAGAGATGTGCTGTCTATTCACAGCAACACACTAACTCTAACTGTAACCATGGTTTCCTGTTAGACGTAGCTACACAGATGCAATTTCCACTCGTGATCAGAGTGTATTGCAGGGACACTATTTAGGTAGATTAAATAAAGGAGCTGTTTAGTCTGTGTCAGACGCCATGAGTAATAAGGTCAGATGGAGAGCTGCAGGCCTGAGAAATAAGGGATAGGGGCGATATGTTCGTCCAAAGAGCACCGGTAATGGCACCTTATCTCAGTTTTTTAATTAAATTCCGAAGCTCTTGTTTACAAATGATCGATCTAATTAAGATGAATGAGACTGTCTGGGACTTGTTCCAGAACAAAAAGTGAAAGGTTAATAGTAAGAAACAAACCAGGCCAGTATGAAATCTGGGACTGCAATATCTAATCAATAAAATCAATGGAAATTGTTGTTGACAAATGTCATTATTGGCTGGTTGGCTCTATGTGCTCTCAAGGACAACCTTTCTCAGTAAATGTCACTGCAGCACTGAAAATCTGGGCTTGGAACAAAAATGCATTCATAAAATGGCCACAGGTTGATCCGCAATGATGAGTTATCCAAAGAAATGGAGTGATTTGTATTAAATGCTTTAAAGAAGGCCAGAAATGTGTTGTTTCATGTGTCTAGGCTAGTGTTTAACGTGGTTCAGAAGTGTTTTTGTACAAGTATGTACCTTATTTTACTGTAATATTCCTATTTGTGTGTTTTAAATGAAACAAAATAACAATTAATCGAAGAAATAATTGATTAATCACTCATGTTAGTTGCAGGCCTAATTCTTTGCTAGTCTATAACTTATTTTACTGCAGTATTCCTATTTGTATGTTTTAAATTAAAGTGAGTGTTTTGCAAAATAGTGATTAATCAAAGAAACTAACGATTAATCACTCATGTTAGTTGCAGGCCTAATTCTTTGCGTCCTCTTTTTCCAGGTGCTAGATGGTGGTTGTGAAGGCAGTACGTAATGCTGAAGGGGCTCGTCCTGAGTCAGAATGAGTGTCAAAGATGGCGATGGGACGACTAGCCATGATGGAAAGGCCTACGAACTTCAGATCTACCCCCGACTGTCTCTGGAGACGGTGTCGTGCTGTACACTCAGAGTCACCAAGGAGGCCACCGCAGCTAGCGTCATACGGGATGCGGCAGCGACCCTTGGACTGGACACCAGAAAGCTATACATCCTGGCTGAGGTGAAGGAGTGCGGTGGGGAGGAGTGGGTGCTGGAATCGACCGACCTTCCCGTGCACAGGGTCCTTCTCTGGCCGAGAAAAGCCCAGGAGCAACATTCTCAGAAAGAGGGATTTTACTTCCTCCTGCAGGAGCGCAACCGCGATGGCTCCATCCGCTACTTGCACCTGCCCGCCGAGGGGAACGAGCAGGAGTCCAAGCGACTGGTTGCTCGGGGTTTCCTTCCACCCCAGCAGGAGGACATTGAGGACCTCTGTAACCTTCCAGTCCTAAGTGAGGACAGCATCTTGGATAACCTCCGCATTCGTTTTCAGAAGAAGAAAATTTATACATACGCTGGCAGTATCCTCATTGCCATCAATCCCTTTAAGTTCTTACCCATTTACAACCCCAAATACGTCAAAATGTACGAGAACCACCAGTTGGGCAAGCTGGAACCCCATATTTTCGCCATTGCCGATGTAGCCTACTACGCCATGTTGCACAAGCACGTCAACCAGTGTATTGTTATCTCAGGAGAGAGCGGATCGGGCAAAACACAAAGCACTAACTTCCTCATTCACTGCTTGACGGCTCTCAGCCAGAAGGGTTACGCAAGCGGAGTGGAACGAACCATTTTGGGTGCTGGACCAGTGCTGGAGGTAAGATCATCACCACTTTGATGCAAACTTGGTTTGGTTAAATGATTGGCGTCATTCGCGAAGGAGTTCAGGAATAGTAGATTCGTTCGAGGACTTAAGCCCAATTTATACTTCTGCGTCGAACCTATGCCGTAACCTACGCATTTTTTTCTGGTCTGCTAGAACCCATACGCTGTAGCCTGACGTGCACCTCTCCAAAAATCACGTCAGCGCGTCAATTCTACGCGGACCGCAAGCGCTGTGATTGGTTTGCTAGAACCCCTCCCTCCGTATGCACTTGAGTTTTGTGTGTGTTTATGTGCACTTTAATATCTTTTAATGTTACACCTTCTTATATAAAATAAAACAAAGCAAAGAACAAGTGTCTTATAATTTATTATACTACATAGCATTATACATCAGTAGTTGTCCGTGACAAACAATGTTGATTTGCCGTGGTACAAGTCCTTGTGGAGATTGAAAGTATGCCCTCATCTCCTGTTCCGTTGTTGTCTCCTTTTTGTAGTTTTAAATAATGATTTAATGATTTGATATTTATTTGCCGCCATCATGGCTATAATGCTTCTCCGACGAGCCATTTCTTCTTCGGCTTTTGCCGTGGTACTGCGGGTTACACCAGCAACATGCCCGTGGACACTGCAGACTAGCGGTTTGCATGTGTACTGCACGTTGACACGGACAACGACGCAGAAGTATAAATGAAAACTGACGCATAGCCTACGGCGTAGGTCCGACGCAGAAGTATAAATCAGCCTTTACTGGGACATGGGATTTTTTTCTGAAAGTACTGACTTGCTCTTGGATAGATTCTGAGCTTGAGTCTCTAGAATTTTGAAACCTTTGATATGCTGTTTTAGTGTATTATAAAGGTAAAAGAAGTTAACTGATGGATTTGCAGTTCGTAGTTGTCAACTTTAGACCTTGTCAACCCCCAGAAAATGGTAATGGTATGTAAGAACCGTACATTTGATTGTTAGTGTTGGGTGTCTGTGCAGTATTTTATCTTTTTTGAGTATTATGCATTCGATTTTGTTATGACTTTGATCCATTGGAGATGCATTTTTTTGTAATTGTAGGACTGCTTTGAACATTCGCAAGGCAGGCCTAGAATAATTTAATTCAGGATCGGTAGATTTGTTGGAGGACTTACTGGGACATGGGATAGTTCATAACTATTTCTCATAATGTCAAATTGCTCTGACATTTCATGCTGTACAGATTCTAGGCTCAAGTCTCTAGAGTTTTGAAACCTTTCACATGTTTTGGTGTAGTTACTGAGATGGTTAAGATAAAGGAAGTCCGTTGATGGGTTTGCAGTTGTCAACCTTAGAACTGGTCAACCTCAAAAAATTTGCTCTTGAAGACGGTCTGAGCTATTTTTGGTGGGACGACTGTAATGACACACGTGGAAAAGCGTACAATAAAATGACCCAAGAGTCCATTCTGCCATTACAGGCGCAGTGGAGACCTAATAATCTGGATTGTCTCCCGTTTCCAGCAACCTGGACAGATACTGTCTGTTTATTTAAAGACCTGAATGCATTCACATGCCTTTAAACTGTAGCCAAACACCAAATGTCTAACTTTTGAGAGTTCAGATCTTATTTGAGTTTATTAGAGTGATTTCTGAACTGCTGCACTTTTCATTCCCTAAAAGCAGTTAGCGTTAATGCTAGGGCAGCCATTGCTATTTTTCTCATAGTACTTGTAGTTAGGGATTTTTTTCCAGATAATGTAGCTTGATTGTTGTTGTGAGCTAATGAAATGGTGCCTCGTTCTGCTTGAAGGTCATTTGTTGACATGCTATTGTGCCGGCGATCTCAATTAGCGCTAGTACACGCTGTCACCAGCTAACCCGATATCGTAACGCCGAACAAAACCACCCCGAGTCTTCCTTTTGTGTTCACGCTGAAGACTCAGAAAATGAAGTCACGCAGCTCACTTGAGATGGCCCGATGTTTGTGCTCGATGGCTCCGAGGCTGTGAATAAAAGGAGAAGCAGCTATATTTAACAGTCATGTGAGCATCCCATAGTGTTATTTTTGAGTAATAGGATTCTACTGGCCTTTTTAATGAAATGGCTTTGAGAAAAGGGCCTTTGTTGATTCGAGATGCATTGTATGGATGGCTCAGATTTCAGTGGCTGTCAAACGGATGGGTGGGGGTGTGTGTGTGTGTGTGTGTGTGTGTGTGTGTGTGTGTGTAAAGGAGCGGCCTTATGCTGCGTGTTTAATGTGGCTGTTTATAGCTATACACAGTTGCTTGTGGTCTAAATATTATGTGTACATTAGTACATTTGTACATTAGAATATATGTTAGTATGTTATGTATCTGTTTATTTTGTAAAAATATATTATGTTTACAATATATCTAAATCAATTGTATATTATGTGCAATATTGTAATATAATATTTAAGCAATATATGGTACAATTTTAAATAATTAATTTTCTTATTAGTAGTAGTATTTAAACAGTATTTAAACACACGCACATGCATGTGTATATATGTAATATAAATAATTTATAGTAATTTAATTGTATAATTTATGTAAAAATATGTACATTTGTATTTATATACAGGATATACAATAAAATATTGTTATACTAAAATATTATAAAGAATTTAAGTATTTATTGAATCTAAATTAACATTTTCATGTGTATACATCTAATATATATTGAAATATGCATAAATATATAATTTATATGCATTAATTAATTATGTATTATATTTACTTTTTTTTTTGCATTTAAGTCTTCATATAAACATACTTTGTTTTATATGTAATAAAAATGTGTAAAATAATTTCAAATAATTTTATAATTTTTATATATATATATATATATATATATATATATATATATATATATACACACACCATAAAAGTCTCCCTCTCACATGCT